TGATGCCGCTCGGCCTCTCGTCTTCGTGTCCCAATATTAAAAAATCAGCGATGAATGAAGGTTGGACCGGCGGTGTGTGTGGGCTGGAGGTTCAAACACATTTTACCAAAGTGGGATTTTCAGCGTTGAAGATCCATCTTCAATGCTCTGGAGTTGCAATGCAATGTACATTTTTATATTTTATATATATATGTACATTTACAAGCGAAACGATTAATCATAAACCAAATAGCGATGCAAACGGTGCGGCTCTGTTGGAAGAAGCTAGTCGGTTCAACACTCTCCTCTTGCATCACTACGAGCCCATCCTGAAGTGTCTGGACAACCAATGGATGGATTGCCTTCATAGTTTGCGTGGCCTCTAGCTGTGAAATTCTTTTTAATAGGGCTACTAGTTAATCCTGGCAAAGTTTCAAAACAAAATAAATAAGAAAATTCATCATTTATTAAAAAAAAATGGTTGAATTGATTCTCCACATTCCAGCTGATTGGGGAACTGGTTTGCAGATTGATCCCTAGTAACAAAATAGAGGAATATTAAGTTGGAGAAACACTGCATGTGTTACATAAGCCTGTTTCATTGGAATAAAATAATAATGCGTACAAAGTGGGTTTCCAACAGAACACACAAGATTAAGCCTGTGGTCATTAGGTGAGCATAAATAGCACCAACATCTGTCCTGATGCAGCTGAGAGCAAGTGGAGAGGTTTCATTAATATTCACTCAAACTGTGGGTCAGAATGGTCAGAATCGACCTCAATCCGAGCCTCTAAAGGGCTTAAAGACCAGAGCTTCAGGATGAATATGCTAAAACGAGGTCTACATTAAGTCAAGAAAGAACCATGAGCGCCCCGGGTGTGCAATCCCTCACCTCTCGTCAGCACCGAACTGATTGGCCGAGAGGGGAAGCGCTCAGAGCTCCTCTCACTTCTTCATGGAGCCGACCGCCCCGCCGTCACAGCAGGTGATCTGAGCAACCCTCCAATCAACTCGGGGGGGGGGGAGGCTTCTGACTTTCACCACAAGTGACTTGAGCAAATGGAAATGACAGCGAGGAACCAAGAAACGCATAGTTCCTGAGCCGAGCAATGTGGTTCATGTGTCCATTCTGAGCCCTCCTCTTTGCTAACGTGCTAACGTGCTACGTGCGTTTTAACTGCTCGGTTAAATCTGCAGTAGTTTGAGTGCCAGTAAGATTGCGAGGATGATTGACACCATCGACACAATGCAGATGGGAGTTTTTGCCTTTACCACATGCCCCCCCCCCCCCCCCTCCCCTCCCCACGTGGGAAAGAAGACATGGCAAAAATGTGCCGGCATAGCTGCTGAAGTCACACAGCGCGGCCGCTACATCTGGTGGTCTGAGATTTACGCGGTCAGACCCCAATCGACACGTAAACACTCCCCCCAAATAGCGCGGCTCGGTGAGAGGATAACACAAACCCAGCTGCACATCAACACACCATCTCATTCGCCCTGGCAGTTGGCAACGCCAGTGAGCTGTGTGTGTGTGTGTGTGTGTGCGTGTGTGTGTGTGCGTGTTGGCAGTTGATAAGTCAGAGGAGAGTTCCGGCGGGTTGACAGGCCACATCCTCGCCAAGTGGAGAACCACCCGTGTGGGAAAAAGTGCAAGTTGTGCGTTTTATTCCCCCATTTTGTGCGCTGCAGGACTTGGGAAGAGACGTCCACAGTGCTAAGAGAACCTGACCTTCAACTATTGTCGGTTTCTGTATGAGTTTATCGCACAAATGAATGGATTTGTGGGACGTATTTCCTCCTTTCCTTCAGCAAGGAAGGGTCGTCTCTGCTAAATGCTTTCGTTAGCTTTACAGAACTTAAACACATTCATCATGGCCGCTTAGATACTGTCAGGTCATGTCAAACATAAACTACAAAACTCCTTTTTCTTTCCGTGTTTGCAGCCGTCAGTCGATCCAGCGCGCGGAGCTCGCCGTGAGTTTGAGAGTCCTCCGCCGCGGTTCTGTTCTGACAGCTGACAGGGACGCAATGACCAGTGACAGCTTACATCTCAAACAGCAGCGCCGTCAGGAGATCCACAGGGGGGGGGGTCAGAAAAGAGCATTTGAATTTCATGAAATGAAAACGTGGAGCATGTTTTGGCTTACAGAAACGCACTTTTCTGGGATCTAGTACGATTTAGATTTGTTTCACTCCAAAACACTGCATAATTAATATTTCATAGCAAAAATATTCAGCTGAGGTGTTTTAACGGAGTAATGTATGTTTGACCATTAACTTTTGTTTTAACGTTGTTATTCGGGACTTGTGACGCATTGGAGGTGGATGTTGTTTGATGTTGGTATTTGGGACAAAAACACAACAACATCAGACATGATTTCACGTCACGGGCACATTCAGTCAGTCCCTCGGCATCAGTTTGTGGATGAAAAGCATTCGAACATTTATTATCACACGTTACACTAAAGCTACTGACTTCTAGCTTTGTGCTTGAGTTTGAATTTGACAAACACCAGAGACATGGCGTCACTATAAATAGTTTCTTCCTGTCTGCCACCGTGTTTCCACGTCTAATCCGGGTTAAGGGAACCTATGACAAGGTGCTGTGACTGTGCGTCGTTTAAAAAGGAAATCAATGTGAGCATCGGCCTCGTGGCTTCCTTCAAGGGAAATTACATCTTCCGAGACGTCATAAAGCAATTAGGTCAAAGTTAATAGTAGTAGTAATAGTTAATTTACATTAAAAACACGCAAAATGACAAGATGAACCTGATGGTGAGTGTTTTTCTGCATATTCCTGAAATGTCAAATGTTGCCACAAAGGTCACAGTCTGGATTTGAAATGTTTCACCTACTGTTCATGTGACCAAATGTCGTCCGAACTCTCCATTTAGTTTGACCCGTCCAACTGGTGGAACAAATCCGCCTCCCCTCCCACTCACATTTCGGGTATCTCAATAATAACTCTGACTCACTCTCACTCAGCTCCAGCTGGTGAAATTGGCAGATAAGGGAACCCTTCCACAGCCTGGAGAGGGCCCGTCATGCGCCGCTGATACCAATATTGCTGATATTTGGCAGAGCAGCCCGATTGTAAACAGAGCTTGGGCGCAGTTATGTGGGTGACACGGTGACACGTGTCAGATGAGGCTCTGTCGGATTGCTCTCAGGTGTTCTGCCCTTTCCTCTCCCTCTCCGGTCAGCTCTCACCGGAGTAATGCTGCGAGGGTTCACGTCCCGGCCCGATGTGGAAAACACTGGGTTAAGTTACAGTGGCGCTGGCGCTGCCGCCATGATGCGGGCGGCGCCCCCCCCCCCCCCCCCGGGTCCCGAGCCATATACCCTCCCACGGTGCCCTTGGCTGACCGAGGACACCCCCCTTGCCCTCCATCCCGCTTCCTGTGGCGGCTTCCCAGAATCCCAAATGTCAGCGGCCCGGCTTAAGAAGCGACAGCTGCCGCCGCATCTTGGGTGTCCGGCGCCGCATTCCGAGAAGCGCCCGAAATGGGACGATGTGACATTTGCAGCGGGGGGGTGGTCGTCTCCTCCCTCTGCGGTTCTAACCCCCCCCCCGCTGCGCCCATGGATCCACACGGGACACAAAAGGCTGCTTTACCGGGCCAAACGCCACGCTGCGCTTGACATTCATCATTTATTGATGGGTAGTTCTTGCCTTCCCCGCTCTCACACTGGCTGATCCCCGGGGGAGGGCTCTCCCGCCGAGGTGCCCACATTTACCCCTGTTGACTCGTTACTGCTGTGACGCACAAACGACAACTTCTGCGGTAGTTTGCGTTTGCTCCGGAGGCAAAAATGAAATAATGTAAGCGAGCGAGCCGCTTAACCGGAATACACAGCTGACGGCTGCTCAGAGGCATTCTTATCCAACGCGAACCCGGCGTGGGATTAATGTACGGGTTCCATGTGCGGCTGCCCGCTGGTCATCATTTCAAATGTAAATCTCATTTTATCTTAAACAAAAACGGGGGATTTTTACAAGCAAAAGCGCCCGTACGTCATGGAGCAACAAATGTTGCTGAACCCCCGATGAAAACCTGGGCACACATGAGTTGGGTAAGCCTGGATTGATGCTGTGTCCCCGCTGACAAGGTGGCTAAAGCCTCAAGCACTGGCTTGTTTCCCCCTCGTTGCACATTTATACTACTTTTAACACCTCGGCGAAACGCCACTGCTGCAAAGACTTGAAAAAGCACCTTGTGAGAAAGCAATACGTGTCTGTTCCTGTTGTGGCTCAAAGCTGTTTTCCCCCGAGTTGGTGACGTTACTGTTACGAAAGGGTTTTCTTTGCCTCGAAGCGCTGCGGTTGAAAAACATGCATTGGGTTTAAAGACGGACATCCAACGGCTTCCTGGTTCAATGTAACGCGAGAGTCATTTTCTGTCAAAAACCTTTAAAAAAAATGCTTTGAACAACCAAAATAGCGAACTCTTCAAAAACTGTCTGAGCTCAACAAACAACTTTTTTTTAAATAAGGGCCAAGCGGATCATTTCCACCAATCACGATTGCGCAACACAACGGGGTCACGTTCAGAAACATCGTGACGCTTTGATCCACAGAAGTACAAAGCAGCAGAGGCGTCAGTCTGAGGAAATCGATATCAATGAGGCGTTTATTGTTTTAACGGCCATCGTGATCATCCATGCACGGAAGGTCAACTGGCACCGAGAAAGCTACTGAAAGCCGAGCAAAGTCAAAGTCCCTTCGGCACCGGCCAAAACAACAACACAATAATTGCATTTGGTTAACATTAAGCTTCCAAATGCACCACCGGATAAGATGTTGTGTTATTCTGCCAGGTTTTCTTAATCAATATACAGATGATACATACAAATATCCGCATGTAAAGAGGTGAGTTGCTGCATGTTAATGCCACATTAGTAACCATTGAGAATGAATCATTATGTGACAAAATCAACAAATTGGGCACCACTTTCTCCGTGGCCTCACCTGAAAAGGTTTGTCGAAAGTCTCACTTGTTCCGCAATTCAGATTAAATTTCTGTTCAACTAGCTTTCACTGCTCCCTGAAAGTAGCCCTTAAACCGTTGCTAAGAACAGGTGGCCGATATGATGGGATCCGGGAACAAACCAACTCCCATGTGAGAGGTTCATTTCTGGGCAAAAACATCACTTTTTCGCATAATGTCGAGCTGTCTGTGTGCAAATAATGGTGAAACATTGTCATCAGACACAATGATTGAAATGCCACATTCACAAGGTGCTTGTTAGGAATGTGCAACGGCTAAACATCCTACAGTGTTGTTTTTCACCATCTAGGCGGCGGACCAGTCGGACTACGACCCCCACACACAGACACGTACCAGGGCTTTTTTTGCGGACAACATTTGGGGAATTGGACATCTGCACGAGCGCCCTGAGCCACAGGGTGGGCGCCGTCTGCGCCGGGTGGCAGGGCGCCGGGTTGCATTTCAGCGCGAGGCGTCTCCATTTTAAGCATCTCTAAGTCCGTTTCATCCCAGCTGCTCAGCGGTTAATCAGCCGACATAAACAGAGGCAGAGGAAATTTACCTTCTATATACCTTTTTTTCTTTTCCAAGAAAGCATTTTCCTGTTCTGTCCTCGCAGCCGTGAGGTAAAAATAGAATAAGAAAAAGGAAAAAAGACTTTACTACGGCTGGATGACAAATCAGTATTCGTCACGCGCTAGAAAAACAATGGTCGCTGTGTTGTTGTGTTGTTGAGAAACTGCTTTGTTCGCACCTTAGCGTGACTCTGCAGTGGGAGTGAGGATGCACATCTCGTCTTACGGCGCTGTAACGCTGGGTCACATGTCCGCTGCAGGAACAGGTGGGTCTACTTGGCAGCACCGAGTAACAGGGAATCAGACGGGGTAATAACGAGGAGGCATAATGGTAATCAGATCAGGCCCAGGCGGAAAGAACGCGGCGTGATTGTGCCGATTGTAAAGGAGAAGCAGCTCTTTTGGGTGGGTCAGGTGACCAGGTGACCTGACGCAGGGGCCGGTGTGTTTTTTACGCACAGCAAACCAAATGTCGTGTCACAATAATAATCAAGCTTTACATCAGATTGACGACAACGTACTTTAAATATTGCCTGTCAACAATAAAAGGAAACCAATGGTCCCACTTCAATATAACCATTATGATTCAGCATTTATAGACGATAACACAATACAGTGGTAAAATATTATCTAATTTTAACTAAGCCAAAACACATTAAACAAATAAAAAACCACAAAATAAATCAATTAGGATGGAAAAAAGACATCTCGGCTTTTAAGGTTCTTTGAATGATTTTTGCTGACTGATTAAAGAGCTGCACAAAATAAACATCACAGACGCTCCAGACTCATCCGGCCTGAGTGGACGCCTCGGGAGAGAAGGGGTATTATTAGATTACCTGTGATCGAGTGAGTTGGATGTCATTTCCATTCTGAGCTGCAGCTGCAGTCGGCTTCATCCACCTGTGCACGTCAATTTGTGTGCATTCAATTTGCATCGTGAATGTGTTATCTTCCTGGAAATCCACAATTACCGTGCGCGACAGCACGACTCTCTCATAAATTTCACGCTTCCCCTCGTCTTCGCAGGTCTAATTCGCCGTCCCCCTGCAACCACCTCGGCCTAATTGCATTTAGTTGTTTGAGCAAATCCCATCTGGGAAACTCAGTATGCACTGTGAATTAATTGTCTCCCCCCCCTATAATGGTTTGAGTCTAATTTGCTCTCTGCTTTTGGGTCATAAATATACGTAAATGGAAAGGCAGATCAATTAATATAAAGTTCAAGCAGACTAGTGATTTGTTGTGGCATTTTGACCCCACACCGAACTCCAGATATACACAATAAACAGGGATGATGGTGTTTTTCCATTTGAAGGAACCAATGAAGCTTCTGCAAAGGGCAGCCTTTGTTTCAGATATTCTCAAACCAGTGTGGCTGTCTTCCAAAGAAAAGGCTGGCGGTTGCCAAGCGATTACAAAGCAGGTGAACCCATTAAAAATAAATGCAAATAGAATGGATTTCATGAAACAGCCTTCTAAGAACACAGCCATGATTCACGACAAAGTGACACCGTCAACTGTGTTGGATTTCATGTTGGTGTTCCCGAGCACGACGTCCTCCATCTTTCAGATTGATTTATTCATTTTTTTTCCCAGACATTTCTTCACACCATGGGAAGTGACGTCGCGTGTTGACAGCGTGGCTCGGGCACGCCTCCCCGGGAACGAGGGGGAAGCGGAGAGAGCGCGCACGAGATTGGACTGGCTCGTCGGACTGGCATGGCTGCGTGCAGCTGGGCGCTGCGATCCACATCCACGAGGCTCCTGCCCGGACGTCTGCACGGCGGCACTGCCTGGACGGAGCGACGCCGAGCCGCGCTGTGCTCTCACAGCATGTTGCAGGGCATTGGGGGGATAGAGAGGGATTAATAAGGGGAGGGGGGGGAGAGAGGGGGGGGGTCGCACACTCCAGCGAATGTTCCACGAGCTTCTGTCTCTCCCGCTTCAGACCGTCAGGCTTTTCCCGCACACGGGACCCCCGGGACTAATGGAGGGATGCGATGATGCCGCTCTTCGCTTGTCATGCTTGAATCACAGCTTCATATATCCTTTTGTGTCGGGGACCTCATTGTCTTCGTCTGTCACTCGAGCCAGATCGACCGTGGGGTAGCGTGGCGGACAGAGAGCCCCCCCCCCCCTCCTCCCTCCCTCCCCTCTCCCTTGTCTGTTGCCCCTGGCTTCTCAACACTCCCGGCTCCGCTCGTGTCTATTTACCTCTCTCTTAAGCCCTCCCCTCTGTGTTGAGCTCAGTCTTTCTCGCTCTCCGGCTTCCCCGCCGCTTACTCTCTGGCTCTCCTGGCTCCTTCAGAGAGGGGCAGCGTGTCGTTCCAACCCAGCCGCTTGCTAGATGACTTCCCGGGAAACGTTTTTCACCTGCCGGCGCCGGCTCCTGAGAACCCGCCAGCCCTTCCAGATTTCCATCTCTCCCGGGGCAGGATGCTCCCCCGCCAGGATTGATCCCCGTCCACCATTCTTCACTTTCCCCCTTCCCCCCCACTTGTCCTGATCTCCTGCCCTCTGACCCTCACCTCGTTGTCCTCTACCCCAGCCCTCCCCCTCCCGTTCGACCTGAGCCCCGAGCCTCTTTCCCTCTCAAATCATTACCCCCCCCCCCCCTCGACCATGTTGCCATGTGTCTGCTGGCTCCAACTCATGCTCATCTTGCTGTCCTCCGTCTTAAGGACCCGGGGGGAAAACTGCCCATCAAACTGCATGTGCCCGGATCCCCACACGGTGGACTGCAGCGGCCGCGGGCTGACCCGTCTGCCCAATGAGATCCCCCTGGACGTGCGCAGGCTGCTGCTGGCCGACAACTGGATAGCCCGCATCCCTTCGGACTTCCTGGTTCTGTACAGCGACCTGGTCTACCTGGACCTGCGGAACAACTCCCTTTCCCACATAGAACCGGGGACTCTCAGCACCTCCTCCAGGCTGGTCTCCTGGACTGGGCAGCAACAACCTGACCGAAATCCCCAAGGGGACCTTGGGAGTCGCGGAGCCTGATCAAACTACGGCTGGGCAACAACCCGTACCTGAGCTTGGTGAGCGAGGACGCGTTCCTGGGCCTCACCTCTCTGAGGGAGCTGGAACTGGAGCGCAACGCGCTGTCCACGCTACAGGTGGGGGCGCTGAGTCAGTTGCCCTCCCTGCGGGCGGTGAGGCTGGAGGGCAACCCCTGGGTGTGCAACTGCAACTTTGCCAACCTGTTTGCGTGGCTGATGGAGAACAGTCAGAAGCTTCCGAATGGTAAGTAGCGGCATCCGAGAAGCGTGTGCTTGACCCAAATAACGCGTGTCTGAGCCCAACATACAACGGCGTTATTGCAAATCCACCGCGAAAACACGGCTCCGGTCTATTTATGTTTTCCCTGTAGGAGAGGGAAGCCCCCCCACCCCCTCCCTCTCACTTGTTCTAATTTTGTCTCTTTCTTCCTCCACTGCCTTAGCATATAATGTGTGAGACTGACTATGTAATGTGAGACAATACCGCTGGTTTGAGAGGGAAAGGACGCTTTTTTTTTTATTTGATGAATTTCAAAATACAGGAGCAAGACAATTCAAACGTGGCATTTTCTGAAGCGGAACAACAACCAACTCAACTAATATTAAGTGATTCAAGCTTTTTAGTTTCTCTGGTTCCGCATTTGAACATGCATTTAAACATTGTGGGGCATCGATCAATTTGCGGCTCATTTTTATATAATATCTATTTATATAAGACCAGCCACAACATCATCAATTATTTTATTCCTTCATCGATGAATATGAAACCCGTTTGCCTTCTCCGCTCTATGCATGTGCAGTTTTTGGCCCATACTAAAGACTCCGGCCTGGAGGGGAGAGTTAGATAACAGGGCTGAAGTTTTGGTTTGCTCGAGTGAACGTGTGCATGCGTATCCGAGGAACAACACGAGACAAAAGGGGATCACCGCGTCCCTGCAGAAGTATTCTCCTGCGTCTGAGATCCGATTGCACGGAGCCGATTGGTCTCCTTCCCAAGGTATTGGATTCTGAAAGGTGGCAAGATGCAAAACACGGTCTGTGCTTGCATCGTTCATTTTGAGAATCTTACACACTCGTCAAAAGCAATTTCTTCACAAAGCGTTACGATGGTTTGTTCGGATGAACCGTACAGGGTTTTCCCTCATGTCAGCATGTATATTACTATTAGTGCCATCACAAAAGGACACAGGCAGCAAGTGCCAGGCAGCATGGGGGAGGGGAGGAGGGGGTCAGAGGAGAAGACGTGAACAGATCTGACAGTTTAGCCACACATGACTAGCTAGCAGCCCGCGCTGTTATCCTATTCACATCAGGGTGTAATGTTTGACGGGAATTTGTGTAATCTAATTGTTTATGATGTGTATGAAATACAGTTCACTAGTTGTAGGTGTCGTGTAAAAACACATGCCGATAAGGAGAGGGGATGATGAGTAGCAGTGGAATGACCCTTGGTTTTATCATTATGGAAACCACTTTATAATTTAATGTGAGTAATCTCATCTAAGTCAAAAAAGCTTTACTCCTGATGTTTAGTATTACAAACTGCAAACAACTCAAAAGAGAACTTTCCATATATATTTAGGTCATTGTGTTCTGTGCTGTTGATACTTCTCCTGCTTTCCTCAAGGCCTTCTGCCCAAAATCGGACGAGTTTGAGTTTACAAACTGGCAAGAACTCCTAATTTCCCCTGCTAACGGGCTGCGAATGCATTAATCACCGGTTCTAAGTGTCTTTAAACTGCACGGCGCAATGAATTACAGCAGCAGCGCTGGCCGGGCAGACGTCCACCACAAAGAGGAAGAAGAAGAAGAAGCTGGAGGCCTGTCCCGAAGCTTCTGCCGACGGCTGCCAACTGGCCCCAGCGATCACACATACGGATATTGAGTCAGTGTTGTGTACCTCACTTCATGTGCGGCTCCTTACATCCGCATTAGTGAGTGTTTGCTTTGCGTACCGCAGAGACGAGTCCGCCCGGCTTTCACTGAGCACACACACACATATATTTGTACGGGACGTCTGAAGTATACCCTACGCTTGGTCTTTAGGGTTATTCTATTAATTTCGTTGGCCAAAAGGTGTCTCAATATACTTTGTGGTGCGCTAATGATGCAGGTGGATGGATAATTCTAATTTCAGCAAAGGGAATGGTGATTATTCTTCCCTTCTGAGGCAAATTGGTTCCGTACCAGGTCAGAGAGGAGAAAACTTGCCATTGAACCGAAAGGTATCCGCAAAAAAAAGTGGTCGTACACCTCTGAGTGCTATTTATAGGATAGCAGCTCTATTTTTCACAACGCAGTAGACGACAACATGACACAAGTAGCTACTAACAATGGAATATGGTGCATGTCTGCGCGCTCACATGTGTAACTTTCACATTTTTTTTATCAACATTGATGAGCAGCGGTGATCCGAGCCCGTCGCGTGCTGCTGTTGTGTCTTTGTCCCCCTGAATGCAAACTGCCGAACACGACTGGTTCACACATGCAGGCGTCGTACTGCCGCACCTCATTAACATAATGGCCGAGCTCCGCATCGCGGGAAAAATGCGATGACCTATTCCCTGGAACGCCGTGCTGGAAGTGCTTGCAGAATAACAGATGGAGACTCATTAGTGAAAGAGGATGACTTGATGAGCGCTTCAATGTGTATCAGCTGCAACCAACTTCATGATGGGTGCTTTGACTTAATCTCTCGTTCGTCGTGGAGATAATCAAGGAGAACGGTACAGATATTGCTCTTTAAAATGTCCATTAATGTGTACTTCCATCCGTGTGGGTGTTGCATCCTCAGGTCTGATACATTATACAACAAATCATTGACCGCGCCAGAAAATTACATTTTAAATATTCAGTGAATGTTTTCCTCTCGAGAAACCAAGAGCTCCACTGATCTTCAAAACTCAACGATGTTGATGCAGTGTTCAAACTTACAGTGTTCACGGGAATATTTGTTCAAAAGAACATAAAAAACTGAGAAAGGTTTTTAAATGATTTGGCAAACTGCAGAACTGCAAAAAAAAGAAGTATAATCATTTTTGTGCTGTTCCAAAGCTGCATTTGATTTTTAGCTTTAATCTTTTGTCATTTTCGTACGACACGTTTTCATTTTACCATTAAACCATCAACAGGACAAAGTTCAGGCATTGGGAATCATCATCAAGTGGTCCAAATAGATTCCCTCAGTGTAGCGTTCATTTGTCTGACGTCATTAAGCAGCGTGATAATTAAACACAGTTAAATTTGAATAAAAGCCACCAGAATACAGACGGAACTGTACAGCTATTTCAGGAGGCCTCCGGAGATTCATATCAAGGGTTTCCTCTGCGATGGCCTGCGTTATACAGCAGCTGCAGAGCCCGTAAACCCAATCCCCATTCCATTTTTCACCTCCTGATTTCCCCCGAGATCTAAAGTCCTCAGAGCGGCACATTCTTCTGTTTGCGTTCGATTGATTACAGCAGGTCAGCATGATGAGTGGGTGGAAAACTCGTCAGATTCTGGACTTATTTCCGATAGAAGAAAACACAAATATCTTCCCGCGTTGTTTCGTCGCTCCGGATCAGACAGAGAAATGCACGTTTTTAAACCGCCAATCGGACTCATCAATGTTTCAATCGGGGGATGAGTGTAAACACGATCCACTGCTGTCTCCACTGCTCCTGGGTTAAGGACGAACAAAGGCCATGTATAATTGAGTGGGACACAGTTCTGGAGGCCCCGTTGCCCCCCCCCCGGGGTAATTGGAGCCAGAGCTGCCTCCGGGGGGGGGCGGCGCAGACGCTGAAGCTCGAGGCCATCGTGCCTATTTCTCTATCCACACTTCAGCGCAGAGGGTCAGCTGATGAGACGGGGGTCAAAGTCCCTCGCACCCTATCGAGATACGGACCTGCGTGGCAAACGCAGCAGGAGCGCCTCAGAAGAGACGGGCAGCGCGACATGTCACACGGGTGGCGACTTTGCTCGCTCCACCTTCACGGCTGCAACGGCTTATTTTATCTCGGGCCTAATTGGATGTTTTTTGTTTAAAGTCGAGATTTCAGATAAAGAGAGACGGACAGAGAGAGAGAGAGAGAGAGAGAGGGGAGCAGAGTGCGGATAGTTGGACGGAATTACAGTGTGATAGCATCGGCCTGCGTGTGCACAGCGGGATAATCTGCCAGTGTCAGGAATAAAAAAAAGGTGCAGCGCCAAACGGCGCCGGCTGCGTGCAGCACTGTGGACGGCGGGTTTTTGAGCCGTTTCATCACAGCGAATACTGCAGCTTCTCGTGTTTGGGAGTTGGTTCACGTTGGTGCGTTTGTTGTTTACAGTCATACGATGCTTGGATGTCAATGAGGCTCCACGCAGAAGGAATCCCCTCTCGGATGATTCACCCTCGGCCCGCTGTCACATGGGCGCTTGTCATTCTGTGCATTCTGCTCCTCTCCAACTCCTACTCTTGCCCTCTTCTTGTATGAATCTCACATCCTTTTCCCTGCAGACTTCCCCTCGGCCTCTTTCTCTCTCTGCGATCACGACTGAATAATTCATCTCCATGTAATTATGTCCGCCCGGTTCTTTAGAATTGGACTTGAGTGGCACATTTCTCTCGTTTGATAAAGTAGGGAGGAGACAGTGCCAAGGGTCGTTATCACAACTGGATTATTTAGTGTCTAGACACTGGTGGTTTATGGCAACAGGAGAAGACTTAAGTTTGAGGGGGGGGGTTTGATTTTGCATCGGTGCAGAGATCAATCTGGGCGGACAGCGTGGCGTTTGGGAGGAGGGGGGGGGGGGGAGATACGAGCCTCCAATATCGGCCTGTCACAGCGAGGTGGATCAATCACATCCGCGACAGCAGATCCCCCCCCGTCCTCCCCACTGGCTGTAATCCCAAATGTAATCCATCAACCGCCCGCGCCAGGAATGTAACACAAAGCTGTGTGGGCCGACACACCTGATAGTGTTTGGGCATGATTTGTGTTGCATGTTGTCGGGGCAGATCCAGACACACTCATGTTGCTTTGATTAAGCACAAAACTATACAGTAATTTTGTCGGTAAAAAAACGATCCGTTAAGTGACTGTTTATGCATGAAGTTAAATTGATTACGATGAAACAGCATTTCGTCGTAGGTTTTGTTGGAGAGACGTCGACTTGCCTGTGACCCATTCATGCAATCCATGGATGTTAAATCACACAGACCTCCGAAAAACAGAAATACAAAATCACTGGCAAGTAAAATTACAGGTACAAATACGGACCTACCTCTTACCTTAAATTCTCTCCATATCATGTTACATAAATGCTTCACCAACCCATCAGTTTTAATATCGGAGCTCATAACCTGTGAGTTAAACAGCAGGCGGTGGGAATTCTTGTATTTGAGAAGCTGCACATTTAACGGCTGTTTTATAACCAATATACACTAAATTTTCTGCTGACAATAATACGCGGGGTAGCTGCCGTGCCAAACCTCCCGACCTATTGGCACCAAAGCCTGTATAATAAATTTATTATGTTACGTTGACCTGCTATTTTTTTAGTTCTTGCAGCATCAAGTTGAGTTAAGTTTGCACACATGACTAAAACCCACACGTGATGTAGAGCTACAATCAGGAGAAGATAATGTGTTAAACCAGCTAACTAGTCAGTATATATTTTGTAGCTTTTAGGCATTCGGTAAGATAACACCTTATTTAGACAGATGCGACAGGTGGGGGGGGGGACATTTATTTGGATTATGTGCGTTGTTCTATGATACATTTGAGTAAGACTTGAACACAAGGTTAGAAAACTGTGCTTACATTTTCTATTCGTGTTGTGTCTCAACTTGCAGAGCAAGCGAACAAAATAGCTCCTTATTAATAGTTCATATTGATTGCACAGTAATGGAGCTTAAGCGGTAGTTCTAGAAGGAAGACTCCCGTCATGCCACACGTGATGTGTGACACGTGACGTCTTCAGCTGGTCTCCCAGAATTATCCAATCAGCGGAGATTGGCTGCGCCAGGTGCAAGCGACCAACAGAGGCGGCGCTGTGGCTCTAAACCAATCACGTAGTTGCTGTCAAACCTTTTTTAAGGGGTTCTCTCTGTGTCTCTGTGTCTCACCTCCAGCAGCCATCAGGCATTGTTCACGTGTCCTTAGTTTTCATCAACTCTTCACCTCCACCAGTGTCTGGACTCCAGGGGGGGAATCCGTTAAAGCAGAACTCGGCATCACGGCCCGTTGATTCTCCCGGTTTAGGATGAAGTCCAATCGCCAAAGATTCTGCACATTTCAATATTATACATGTGCAATGTTTGTCCTGATTGAAATGTGTTTGCCTCGGTCAGTTTGCGGCTGTTTATCCTTTTGACATTCTGATCATTTCATTTGCTAAATGGGAGATTTGAGCGTCAGGCGCATAGTGCTGACCGGGCGTTTGCAGTTGCAGAGCTGGATTAGTTCAGGCGGTGTTTAAATGCGGCCGGCAGTCAACACAACAAGGAAGCGCCTCCTCGTTTTAATTTCTCTAATCTGAGGCCACATTCGTTAAGTCCGGACAGCCTCCCTTTAGTGACAGATATGCACATCGCATCAGCGACAAGCTGTAATACCCAGAAAATGTAATCCAGGTGTTTGTTGCAGATGATTCCACTTTGGGACAAACAGCTGTTCAGTAATCCCCCTTTTGGCAATGTAATGAGCCCGTGTCCCCTATTGTGTCATTCTAATCTCGCCCTGCAAGGCCTCTGTTTTGCTGTAGGGTTCATCCAATGCGTAGATACATAAATACACATTTACAAATACATGAACAATTGTATATTTTCTTTGGAATATTACATTTTAGAGACCCGAAGTGTAATTTCTGGGACGTTTTGCATAAATCGAGATGATTTTGTTCGCGTTACCGACGAATGTATCTGTCCACCATTGTCCTGGTCACTAACTCTCTATTTATTATAATATGTGTAATTATCCTTTATCCCGTAGAGTAGTTTCAGTCTCAGATCAATGGTTCATCGAGCGTCTCGATGGACCTCTGGAGGACAGGAGTGTCTCAAAGGCTCACCTTGAATATGAATGTAAGACATTCATCACGGCTACAAAGAGACCGAGACAGGAGCTCCGACGTATCGAACTTTCAGATGTATTTACTGTTTTCTTTGTCATCGTGTCCAGATGGATGTTTTGTCTTTGCCACTTAAACGGCTGTCTGGGAATCAATAACAAAAAGGTCAGCGCGTTCTGTGCGGGTCTGCAACTTTCTGAAGATTGTGAATACCTTTTTTATTTGGTTACTCTCTCCACGTATACAGATTTATTTTTGTACAAAATCAAACATTGCGTTTATGACGTTTATTGTGTTATGAATACGAGAAGGTCACAACTCCTCGCCTCTTTGCAAAGCGTGGTTTTGGTGCGTGATGCTACTTAGTTGTGTTCTAATTAACCTGCATGTGACCACCAGATCTGCACAATTTATGATGGTTGAAATTTAGGTCCCACAAAGAACATTCCGAGCTAACGCACACGGGCCACAGCTCAAGAAGGTGCTGGATGCTCCGTTGCAAATACATACTGTAACACTATAAACATGCATTCGGTATGTAATAAAAAAGGAAGTTGTATAGACTTTTTGATGTTTGCTTGCATGCGTGTATCTTGTGTCCACTGATTGGATGTAACAGGAAATGTGAGAATGTGTATCTGGCATTAAGGGATTAGTGTCACTACGTTTTATCAAGCTCTCAAAGAGTTCAGTTACTCACCTAATGAATACTGTAGAGCGTCAGTCGGAGGAGCTTGGAAACCATTATACTGATATTTCCATTGTCACTTAAACCCTGGACCAGCTTCAAAAGTTTTATCTACAAATGTAAAATTCCATCAACAGACTAAAATCTCCATCATCCTTGTGGAATTTCACATGTTTCTATTTTTCACTTGGTTTTATCAGAAAGCATGTCTGCGAATTGTGCTGACTGCTCAGCAAAGACCCCGGATTCATGCACGGCCGTGTGTGTGTGTGTGTGTGTGTGTGTGTGTGTGTGTGCATTTGCATGTGCAGCATCAGTAGAAGCAGCCACCCACATTGCAGGGATTCATCTCCACCCACCTGTCAGCTAACATCCACATCGACGCGTCTATACGACCATACGGTCAGTGCAAATATGAAGGTAGTTCCTGGCTCTGTGGAGGTCTGTCGTACTGCCGGCATCGTTGATCGGTGTCTCCGGTGGTTGTAGTAAGCGGGACCAGGACTCTCACCGGGATGGATCTCATTTGTAGTCACGAGTTGGAGAGAGCGAGAGAGAGAGAGGACTCACTGGAAGGCTCGCACCTTTTTTTTGAATTACAAAAGGCTGAATCCACCGTCCTGTCCCGTTTTTAAAATGATCTGCAAACAACAATAATCTGGGTGAAAGTGACCGGGACACTGAGAGAGCCGCACTCACCGATTTATCGCACATCGTCATCGGGAGATGAGTTTCGGTCATGGTGCCCTTGTCTCAGACTTTTAAACGATAAATCAGTTTCACTTTGAGATGAAACCAGGGGTTACATTCTGTAGGAAAGTGAATTGTTTAGAGATTGTGCAGCTAAAATTAAAATAATGTATTATTGTTTAGCTCACGCTAAAAAAAGCACATTATCCCTCTGACAATGCAAATGAAATACATACATGCACTTGACACCAGACTACACATTTACAGCATCGCAGAGCTTGAGGCTTCCTCAGTAGTTCATTTTCTGCACCGCTCCTGCGTGATGTCGTCATTCTGCGTGCCTTGCAAACCTGTCTAACCCCATGTCCTTTTTCCCCATGCAGGAGTGGAGGGCATGGAGTGCTCCCTCCCCATGGACGGCAGACGTGTTTCCCTGACCCAGCTCTCCAAAGACAGCTTCCGCGAGTGCCAGGCCACACTGACTCTCACAGACCTGCTCATCATCATCTTCTCCGGCATCTCCGTGTCCGTGGTGGCCATCATGACGAGCTTCTTCCTGGCTTCGACTGTCCATTGCTTCCAACGCTGGAGTAAAGGCACCAAGGGCGACGAGGAGGAGAGTGAGGAGTGAGTGAGTGAGGGAGGGGGTCGACCCCCCGCGTGGTCCCCCGGTACTCCAAACAATGAGAGGACACCGCAGACGAGGTCTGGTGCATATATCCGGGACTGTTCGTCCAGGACCGAAGCCCTGGTGGGGTTGCAGTTGTTTCCTTTGCACGTGAAGGAGGGCAACCCGAGGACGTTCCCCAGGAATGAGCCAAAGTCCCGATAGAAATTAGCTATTGCGCTGCTCCGCCTGCTAAACGATGGATGGGGGGGGTCATATTTTGTGGCTGCTGGCTACAGGCTCCATGTTGTAGTCCTAGATAGATATAGAGAGGCTAACCCCTGTAAAAGATCACCAGACGTGGAGGAGGCTTTGCTCTCAGTGCTTTCACATTAGTATTAGACGAGCTGCTAACTTCTCAACGTGTAATCACATTATGTTGAAATCCTGTAAAGTGACATCCAAGTTTTTAGGTGATTTTATCTTCAACCGGGTCAGAATCCGTCATAAAAGAAGGATGTCACACCGACCAACGACCTCAGTGATTAACTGCCTATACCACGATATGCTGGCCCATCCTGCCATTTACAGTGTCTTTTTCACCTGGAGCCTCACTCGCATTCAAAGCCACTTCTGTTGCTCCTTCTGCACGTGAAACGAAACGGTGGCCGAGGCGTCCGCTGAAGAAGCTGAAGTCCAGTAATGGTGAGATGCAGGTAGATTACATACGGTAGGCAGTAGGCGCTCACGGCGGGTCTACACGTTCATTCACTAGCATATCCATTATGTAATCGCAAATTTATGTCCAAAAGAAAATATTGTACAGTCAACTGAAACATATAAATCAAGAGGATGTACTGCGTATTCCTTAGATCGATGTGGCCTGTGTAGAAAGACAAAATAAGAGTATAATCTCTAATTACGGCAAACCTGGTATTAAATAGAATCTAAGTAGAACTATTGTGTCAAATAAAGCACTTTATATGGTGAACCAAATATTGGCAAGCCCCTAATTACACTATGTAGACTGGTTTTGTGTTTATCTGCCAAAGAGTAGGTTGAGGTGAGGGAGAGATGGCGTACGAGGACTTTAGTGAGGATGGGAACGGCGCCTCGTACTGACATGTTGTACTCAAACACGTATACGGTCTCCAAAGATGAGCTTTTCCTTCTAGAACCAGCTGTATTACTTTGCCTCATTCATGTGGAGTTTCAAACCTTTTAAGAATATATATTTTTCAATATACAATACTATTTTTGCTTTAAAGATATCCGGAATTGAAGAACTCTGTTAGGTTTTTCTCCTTTTTAAGAAAACATCTTCCAATAACATAAGTTGCCGATCTGAAAAAGATATTTAAAAAAGCAACAGTGCAGTGAAATCTACATTAAACAAAGGTCGCGACCCGAATACCATGGGTTCACTTGCATCCTGTGTGTTTCAAACCCTCCTCCTTTTAGGATTTGGAAAAGCTCAAAGCTGGAGCGTTTCATCCCCAATGCTTATACGATGTGTTGTGTTGCTTCCTACATTTCTGTAAGGCATGAATAATTCACAGAAATTAAGATATGAACCAGAAAGAATGTCAAGCCCCCAAATGCAGAGAAAAGAGCCGCAAGCACAAAGCGTTATAATTCAAAGGGAATACTAAATGCCTGCGTCGGTTAAGAACAATTCGTGAGCCTGAAAGTGCAGCATCAAGGAGCACATTTTGCATAAATGATGAGAAATACATATGTTATGTTGTTATTTTTTTATATTTTAATTTGCATCAATAAAAGCACAAGGATCTCGCCGAATGCTAATGGTTTTCAAACACGGTCTTTTAAAAGAAGAGACACGTCCCATGTAGGTAACATCTTCCACTGTCTGTGTTTATGTTTTCATCAATGTGCAACGTCACGTGTTGTGTTGAAAATGCTGCGTCCGATAAACGGTGAATTAGTCGCACTGTGTGGAATTCAAAAGGCTGCTGATTTGATCTGTTTGAATTGAGCAAAAATGAAATTACACACCGTCGGTCTAATGATGGAGAATTTCTGCCATTTAGTTCCTTATTTCTAAAGACAACAAATAACTCAAAGTTCACAGGGAGCGGATGAGGTTAATAGAGGGTGTAAATGGGACTCTAAGCAAAAGTATGAAACCATTTGATTTTATTGCATTAGGGCATTTTGGAAAGAGCTAACCACCACAATAACCGCTAAAGTGAATTAGCTTTAGCGGTTCCCGTCTTCACGGATATCCGTGGGTGGAGGCTTCAGTCCAGAGGGAAGGTTTTATACATCATTATCGTTTCCAACTACTGTGTAGTTACTGCATATCAACAAACTGTTGTGTTGGCTTAGCTATTAGCTTGAAGCATATGTTAGCATGACACTTTCCTTTCTCCTGCTCATTTTATTAGGTAAGAAATATCAGCACACTAGAGCATGCACTGTTGAGTTATCGACAGAATAAACTCCAGATTCATGTATATTTTTCTATTAAAACCTTTCGGAATGAAGACTTTTATTTACTCTGTCAGTCCCCAAAGCACATTTGTGGCGTTGCGCAGCCTGAGAAAGCCGAGACGCTGCTGGCCGCGTTCCTACAGCGCGTCTCAAATTTTGCTTAAGATACCAAAATCCATGTTACCGTATGTTTTGTCCGATCCGAATGGCTCAGATCTAAATGAAGTGACAGCGAAGAGTGTGGCGTTGTTGCCGCGGCTGAATGCATTTCCAAATGTCAAACAGACCATGTGTGTAGCTGTACATTGTTTGCTAAAAAGAAATACAATAAAATACTTTTTTTTCTGTCTTTTGGTCTGAATTTGTGAGTGTGTCTGTGTGTGTGTGTGTGTGTGTGTGTGTATAAAATCATGATCTATTTATTCTGAACGCAATGTGTCAGCACACATCCTGCACGTACACACCAGCTGGAAGTAATAGTCTTCAATAAAGGAACAGTAAGAGTGGAAATGTGATCCTAATGGGTCATACTGCTTTTTGTTAATAATGACTCAATAATAATTCTGAATCTCCCTCCGTCTCGTCTCCTGGAGCTGAAGTATTTAGTCTCGTCACCCGCAGCAAACGAGCAAGGCTTCTCGGTAAACACGGCTCAGTGTGTTATTTCACACAACGCTGTTATCACACTGCAGGTGTGCAAATGGCGGCACTATTTTTAGAAGGGGTGTTAGATAAATTATACCTGGAAAATCAAAAACCCTTCCCCTCGCATGACAATTCTCCAGCATGTTTTTAGACATTTCTTACGAAAAGAGCTTTGTGCATTTGCAAAATCTGCCTTACGAGTTTCATGCTCGGCACGTGAATATTTTGGTGGTGTGCTTTTCCTCAGAAGTCTGATAATCACAGGATGAAACCCCCCCCCTTAGAGTATCGAAAAAGAAAGCAGTGAGGCCAGAGAACGGTAACAATGGAATCCTTACTGAATAAATTCAAGATTCCAAAGACTAATCGCCACAGCGGCCCGCGAACAGCACATGAGAACGACTGGCGCACGCTGTGCGAGTGCATCACGGAAAAGAGGCCTGTGAGGGTGGTGGTCGTGATGAGGATTCTCCTGCAACCATTTACCTCATTTGGTTGCCATGACTACACAGCCGGAGGCCTGAGCACTTGGACACCGAGGCGGGAACAGGGAGAGCGAGAGGGATGCTGGGAAGCATGGCCCAGAGTGCGGCTGCTCGCCTCTCCTCCCATGCATCAGCTAACTGGACCTGGCATGAAAAAAAAGAAGAAGAAAAATAAAATGTGCACAGCTCTTGGACCCCGTGAACCAATCTGGGACTTTCACATCCATCCTCCCACATTTGTCCGAGGCATTGTGATCCACGGGTGAGATCTGGATATCCGTTTTAGCAGACTGTTTTTGCAGTTTATTGTTGAGTGGACTGTACAGTAAGTGGTAATGCCGTCAAATCTAGTTTCTATGAGTCAACATAGAACAAATCCAAACGGATTATAGAGGCCGCCCCAAAAAAATGGCTCACGAAGAAGGATTAAATACTTTAAATCAGGTCACTTAACTTCTACGATAAAACAAGAGTCATTGCTTTAATCAGACATAAGAATGATCATCAGGTGAGCAATAATCCGATGGATAAAAAAGGTGTTTTGGAAAATAAAACTTTTATTATTTATTCATCAAAAGTCTCTCGTTACGTCTGTGCCCGACCTACAAAGACAGGAAGCGAGCAGGACAGAGCGGAAAGTAAGCCAACCCTCCGAGAGGAAGCTGTGAATGAATAATGGCCGTGTGGCCTACAGCGGGATCAGAGTCTGTGGAGGAATCAGCAGCCGAAGGGTCGGGTTGCAAAACAGAAAAACCAGCACACACCTGATGCTCCTCTCTCTCTGTGACACAATGGTCACTGTTCCCGGAGAAGTGCAGGAGATTTAGTTGACGATCACAAATGGGTCTTGGGCGACTTTCCCTCCCTTCTCCTCCTTTCTTCCTGACTTTTAAACACCTATTCACGCATGCTAGAGCTAACAATCCGTCGTCAACCTATTAAGTCACCGAGGGAGAACAGAAAGAGTGCACCGAGCTGGTAATAAACCAAAGTGAGCATTATCTCTTTGGATCTGGCATTTCGTTCAACATCAACGGCCCATTTACACTGACTGCGCCATTGTCCAACATTCTGTTTTCGCTCTGAATGCCCCCTCACGTTTATTCTGACGTTCGTCAGGAAGCGAAGGCGAGCATTTTGCCGCTACCTTGATCCCAATTCTTGGCGCGAGCATTAAAAGCATCATTCACCGTGCAGAGTTACGGGCTAACTGCTCATCTGCTGCAGCCAAACACGCCCGGGCAGGCTGCCGCACTCACTTCCCTCAGATTGTACTTTTTATATCCTGAAAATATACTACACACGCTCATTGCTGATGTAGAGTGTGCATTAATGAAGCGGGTGTGTTTACAGTGGAGTTAATTGAGTGCCGAGGTGCATCGATGTCAGACGCTTGCAGGAGCAAAGCGGCGGTAAATGACACACTGGAGGTGAGCAGGTTGAGCGGAGGCACCGATGTCAGACATCAACATTGATATTCGTCACCACCGAGTGGTGAAAAACACAATCAGACGCTGCAGTTTGCAGACACGCGCGGCGCTTGATAAACTACACGACATGAAAGCGCCGCGTCTTATGTCGATTTTTCTTTTGCCCGATGGCAAGATAAATAATTCACGTTGAGGAAAACTGGAGGGGAGAAAGTGTTTACTGCAATCACCCGGTGAGAAGTCGTATCATCCCGCGATTGATGTGTGTTGAACTAGAGAAATTAATCTGGCACGGAAAAACTCATTAAAGACGAATGGTGAAAGAGCAAGACGGTTTAAGAACGAGACGCATCACTCACAGCGACGCTCTCCGAGGCTCATGAGGTCACCGCGTCGCGTCAGCCGTACCGAGCACACGCGTGGCCTGCAGATGAATCGTGCCATGAGGAAAGAGGGGAGAAAGCAGTGGAACTCTAATTGTTTTCACCTATTTGCATTGTTACAATAACCGTCCTGCGTAGAAAACCACTCGAGCGCCGATGCAAGATGCCGAGGAGCTACATGACACAATTTTATTTTAATTAAAAAACAAATGCATCTTTTTTTTATTAGGGTAAGTGAAATACGGGTCATTTTTATTCTTTGCAGTTGCAAAGGATAAAATGGCCCATATTTCAGTTTGAGCATCCCTGAACCGTCGATGCGAGCACAGGAGGCGCAGCAGACGCTCGAGGGATCTCGGGGGGGGGGGGACGCGCATTTAACCAAACGAGACATCCTCGACTTCGCAGCTGTTTTATAGAGGTGTCAATTAAATGTGACGTGAGACAGAGCGGCCGCGTTCATGTCCGTCGCCTCGTCTCTTGACAAGAGACGTCACGTGACGTCACGTGACAAGACGTCAACTCACTTTGCGTTACGCTGAGATTCATTCCCGGGCGATTGAGGGTTGTTATATGAACCTTTCATGTCATCAAAGGCAAAGTTCTCAATTCAGGGAGGAAGAAAATAAGACGTTTGTGAGAAGCGCTGTATAAATCACAGAGAGAACAACCCGTTCGAGTGCTTCTCTCCACATGAATAGACTTTCATCTGGCCTACTTAGAGGTGGAAGATGGATTGGGTTGAGGCTGCGAAACGAAGCTCCGGAAAGTAAATGGGACAAAAGGAGATTGCAGACAGGTCACATCTGTTGTGGTCTGTGCGCGTCGCTCTGTGGAACGTCCTCACTGTGTACTCACCGCTTTTTTTCCTTTCACGGCATCATAAATGGCAAAGCCTCCGTCGGTGACACTGTTCAAACAGGCGTTTTCCACACTCCGACGACAGGCCTGTCCGCCACGTGAAATCACTGAGATGAATTCTTGCTGATGGATAAAACAAGATTCCGAAGTTTCCCGCCGGCCTCAGAGCTCCTGCACACGCAGCTAAAAAGGCTGCAGGAGAAAAAAAAACAGTTGGATGCTGGAGTGACATCGGAAAGGTCAACCTTGTTTGCTCCTGCTTCACTACGTCCTGAACAATCGGCATGTGGGCCGATGAACCCAAGGACTGCCAGTAGCTTGTGTCCAATATAATAATAAAAGAAATCATTTTAACAATTGATATTATAAATATATATTTATTCTATTAAACTGTTCAATTTTTTCCTGCCAAGATATTAAACCTGGTCTTAAAGCATCAGGGCCGTTCTCCGCCTCACGTGGAGGAGGTCATTGAGCCTCATGATGGTTCTTTCAACGGGTTGTGAGCACACGAGACCCCGGTTCAGTGCTGCAGTGGGAGGAACAGAAACCAGTCCGTCCATTATGGATTAAATGCTGCTTCTCCCGCTTTTCTCCGCCTCACTCGTCTTTTTCTCAAATGTCGCCACTTTTCTTTTCATCCTACCGTCTTATTATTTCTAATTTGCCGCTACCGCTCTCGTCTGTCCGCAGTATGGAGACGATACCATCGTCACCTGCCTGGATGACGATGTGCAAAGATTCGATTGGTCGAGTAGTATCAGGTGGGATGGTTTGACTCGCTAATGACGAGGACAATCCAGACCGCCACATCGCACCTTTTTATGATTGGTGTGCACCGGTCGACACCATCATAAAACAATGGCGCTCAATGATTCGTTTCACGTCCGCGTCCTCAGCGAGAAGGTCGAGGGAAGCCTCCTTGAGCGAGTAATCACATCTATATGCTGCAATTATTTAACACCGCTTTATTAAAGGGCCGTACACAAATGCCCTCTGTTTGGGAACTTCTTCTGCGCCTCCCTCCGCCGTCCTCCGTTGATTCTGGCGCCGTCTGCTGCAGCTCTGCAACGCTGCCGCTCTAATTGCACCGTGCGTGTCTCATAGCCCCTTAATCCCGTCGGGTCAGAGGCCGCGTCTGAGCCTTCATTTAAAAGCTTTGCTTCGAGCCGGGGAGAGGAGCGGAGAAAGAAACTCAAACAGACGCCCAAATGGGAAATGACTAAAAGAGCACTTTGTGTTCACCGTTGCTCGTGGCTTTCAGGGCCTGTACGGAGCAGTGAACACAACGTGAAAACAAAGCAGAGGGAGGGGGGGTCGAGAAGGTCAAGAATGGACGGGTGGGCTTAACTTTTAAGTAGTCAAAAGAGGTTTGAACATCTACCGTGAACTAAGTTATTCTGGAAAAAAGTTAAAGCTCACTTGTTACTGTAGGTGGTTTTATGACCTTTTTGAAGTCATAATTGTATGTTTCACATTAAGCATCAATATTCATTTGATGAATGCCTACTTTTGAAAGCATCACCAAATTGATATTTGAACTCG